TCACACTGATCCCCGATTCCTCTGTGCTTGCTACCCCAACATCAGGTCAGATGTTGATAGAGTAGCTGTCAAAAAGGGAAAAGGGTTAAGACCAGTGTTTCTTCCAGACTTTTCTCCCGGAGGGGGGTGGGAGGCTTTGGAAATTTTCGGGGGGGGGGGGGGGCGGACTAAAATTTTCGGGTTTCGGGTCGGGGGGGGGGGGGGGGGAGGGCGAACACTGTTAAAAGTATATATTTTCTATATAAATTCCATTTCGCCCCCCCCCCCCCCCCCACGAAGAGATGTCTGGAAGAAACTCTGATTAAGATGTGGACTGTGAAGGAGGAAGGATACTCAAGTTGGTTCAGTATCAGAGTAGTTGGTAGAGTAGGTGAAGCAGAGTTACCCTGTGCCTGGTGAATAGTGAGGGCGGGACAACATCGAGACGGCTTGGCCCCCAACTCGGGCTTGGTACTCATCAAAAGTTGTGTGTGCTCAGGGAGGTCTTACATGCTCATGACTGTACAGCATCAACTTTTAATTTGTTTCAAATTCTAGTTCCTTCCGTATTTTCAATCAGTTCATCGGTTTTATAGGTTTTATCACGTGAGCAAAACGTGTGCATTTTAGAAGAAATGTAGGCCTTATTTCAGTCATTTTTCTTTATGGGGTGGGAGTGAGATGGTGGGGGACCTGTTTAATTATTGAACACGAAGTCTAACTGTTCTCTGTCTTTATTTTAACGGCCAGTCATGAAGTCAAGAACATACTCTAGGTTTGAAAAAAAACACCCTGGCACAGCAGTCTGACAAAGGTCAAAAGTAACAGAAGACTTGCCATCTTGTACACATTAAGGCTAAGCCGCGAGAGGTCAAAGTTCATGAACTGACACTTGGCCGATTAATAAAAAAAAAGGGAAAATAAAAGGCCGAACAAATGCGAAATAAACTGTGTCCCATTTATTCCGAATGTTTGATTTGTGTCAGTTTTCCTGTGACACTTTTTAGTTTTTATTTCCTTAAATTCGTGCCGACTGTCTTTTGTTTGGACGTTTGAAGCAATTAAGAGAAGGAAAGAAAGAAAATAAAAAAAAAAGCGAGAAGACACATTTTTTTGTCTTAAGGCTAGAGATTTGAAAGTTTATTAGACGCGGGCTATGAATTATTCAAGGCTGTTTAACACAATCACAAAAAAATATATCGATCCCTGCTGGGGGCCAAAACACTTTATGTGTGAGTAAAGACGGTTAGGGGTCCCTTGTGTGATTCAATTATGTGTATTCTGTGGGGGTTAAGGTGTGGGGGTAAAGGGAAGAAGGTGTGTGGGGTGGATGTGAGGGTGGAATATGGTTTGGATGATGGATCGTTGTATGGAGGTGGATGTTGGTGTGGAAATTAAAGGAGGGGGGTATGTTAAGTTGTAGGTGAATTTGTAGGTGGATGTAGAGGTGGATGTTCAGCTGGGTGTGATAGTTATTTGTAGGTGGATATTGAAGTGGATATAGAGGTGGATGTTGAGGTGGGTATAATGATAAATTGTAGGTTGATGTTGAGGTGGATGTTGTTACATTTGAGAGGATGAACAAACAGTGATGGATGTGATGTTGTAGTGGATGTGGGTGGATGAAGATTGTATGTTGTAGTGGATAAGATGCAAAAGATCGACTACGATGTGGAGGTAGATGTGTTGTAGTGGGGGAGAGCATGGATAAATGGTTGGATGTTGGGGTGGATGAGGGTGTAGGGATGGATGGGGGTGGACAAAATATTTTGAAATTTTGCTTTAAAAGTGTGTGTGAGCGTGTGTGTGAGTGTGTATGTGAGTGTGTGTGTGATGTTTATAATAACCGAAGCAAGAACACAATTTATGGTTTTGACGTGAATGCCATTGCAATCTACATAATTGTTAGATAAAGAATGTTTTTATTTACACATAAAACAAAACTCCCAGTTTATGAGAAATGTTCTGCCTCATCTTTATATTATTTTTTAAATTATTTTTTTTTCAAATGTTGAGTTGTGGCGGACGACAAATGAAAGGTCAGAGAACAGGGGTCAAATATCAAATACGCCCACTCAAGATAACATGGCCAGGTATTCGTAACATTTGTGAGAGGTGAAGGTCAAACGTGGCGACATACAGCGGTCAATATAAGAATGTATCACGCCTGCAAACCAGCAGGTACTGTAAGTCTGGAAACAAACAGGAACCAAGGAGAACTGGTTCCAGCACAAAGTACCCCATCCTGCCCTGCTAGAGGCTATTTGTTCGTCGACAGACTTAAGAGCCTAGTTAAATATTTTATAATGGTTTGTTTTAGAGAGCTTTGAAAGTAGTTCTCATGCTTCGACGTAGGGTATACAAAGTCACACGTCATTCGATTTGTTTGCTTTTCATGGATTTTAAAATGAAAATTAGTACAGGCCTACGTCTAGAGAGTTGCTTACAACAGCACACGCAAAAAGACAGATTATATATATATATATATATATATATATATATATATATATATATATATATATATATATATATATATATATATATATATATATACATGCATACATACAACGTTAAAACACAAGCGCGCAGTCGCCAATAGCTGTTATCTGTCGTTCTCGCGTTTATGGTGGTTAGTTGGGGCTTAACCTCCCACCCCAACACTCCGAAAGCTAGACTGCTAACCCGAAAGTTTCGAGTTCGTATCCGGGTTAAAGTCAGCAGAACGTCCCTGAGTCCATCGAGCTCTGATGGGTACCTAACTCTCTTAGTGAAAGTAAAGGCGGCTGGGCATAGTGCTGACCACGTTATCTCTTCATACGCCGAGGTCACAGAAACACGTGAATTCTACTCCACTAGCCCCAAAGGTCCGTCCGGTTCGAAAAGGCCACTGTCCTAAATCACGGACACGGTGTGTTTTGTCTTCCTCTTGTCTATTTGACCATAAACATAAAAATACAATTGACCAATCAAGCCGAAATAAAATGACACTATATATAGTTTAAAAAGTGCTACAAAATATTTTTTAAAGCTATTCTAAATACAGAAATCACGAATACACATAGCACATCTATCTGCCATCCTTTCACACCCCCCCTCCCCACGCCCCCAAACCAAACGCAGATCAAACTAGAAAGACATCTTCTCCTACCTTTGATAAAAAAGAGCCTTTAAACAATTCTAATCAGTTCGATAAAAACTTTGTATGCTACTAATGCAGCTTGTTAAAGCGAACTAGCATGATTGCTATTGATTGCATTACGTAAAATGAAAAACATTTCGAATTTCATCAGTTTTAAGTGCGCCGCAGTGAGCACGATGGAGGGGAATTTAAAGCCGTCTCCTCCTTGCATTAATGGAAAAACATTTCGCTTGAAAGCAAAAACTGGAATAAAAGGAGAGCAGAGACTGATGTTTTAAGGAATTCACGGAAATTGGTTCTGAAAAAAAGTACCAAGAACATGTAGTCTCACATGCTGGGGACGTGATGTCTCAAAGACAACAGGTTAATTAAAGTAATTTTTTTCAAATTTGAAACAGAGGCGGTAAAGTAAAAACATGGATTAACGATTCACAGAACAAAATAGAAATATACAGAGAGTTTTTGTTAAAATAACTGCATATTCCGCAGTGATTACTAAAGATACATTTTTTATGGAAGCTTTTTTTTCTGACATTCAGTGGTCCACCTAGCAGGTGGAGTAGATTCTACCTGTATACATTTTTCGCGAAGACATTTTTTTGCAAATTTAGCATTTTTTAAATTACCAATAATAAGCACAGTCCAAACTACTTAACAGGTGAGTTCTTCTGTTCCTGGTGTGTCGGATTCATTGAAGTGGCAAGATTAATATTTGTTTTGGCTTATACAATGCCATAAGTTTAGGGTTAGTGATTCAAATCTGTGTTAGATTAACTGTGGGTGGGGGGGGGGGGGTCCTACAGACTCAGGCAAAGTTATCGTTTGATCAGTTTTTGAACTCCGGACCTCTCTAAACATTGTTCTTTGCTGCACATGGATTTGTACCACCTGTCTATAGTTTTACTGCACATCCTCACGTCCGTGAGACTTATTGCGATTCCAAACCGGGAGACCAGGTCTCCAGTCAGCTGACCCCAATGGGGTCTATGGGGCAAGTGAAGTAGAGTTCACTTGTTTCTGTGAAAACGGAATATGAAGAGAGGGACGGTCTACTGACTTGAACCCGGATTCGAACTCGAGACTTACGGGTTAACAGTCCAGCTAGACCACTCCGTCCCGTGATAATTATGAAGTTGATGGAATATTTGTTTCCAGTATCGATTTATTGTGTAAATATTAACCCCTTCCCCCAGTTTAGTGACCTATAGTGTAGTACATACAATTGACACGACCAGATCAGGATTTAATTAATCAGCCAACTAAGTTGTGTAATTAAACTCTGTAGTTAGTGAACCATATCGGTCAATTTAAATTTTTATTTCCTTTGATTAATTCAGAAAATTTATTTTAATTATTAAACTTAACACCCCGTTAAATAAAGTATTTAAAATATTGAGCCAGTATATGTATTGTTGAACTTAAAAGCCTACCACCCCACACGATGTGTTCGAGAAACGTTGGATTTTAGCCTTCTACCCCACAAAGTAAAAAACTATTAAAATGTTAACCCGTATAGAAAAAGATTTTTAAAAATGTCAACTTAACGATTCCACATAGAAAAAAAAAGAACTATTTCAAAGATTGATCCATAAAGATAACGATAAAAAATACCACTTACCATCCTACAAAGACAAAAAGAAACTATTTAAAAGATTGGTCCATAATGAAACGATTTAAAAAGTTTAACTTAACATCCCACAAAAAAAAATATTTGAAAGATGGACGCACAAAAGAAACATTTCAAAAAGTTTATCTTACCATCCCACAAAGACAAACAAATTTTTGAGAGAAAACAATTTAAAAAGTTGAACTTACCATCCCCCAAAAAAAATTATTTAAAAGATGGACGCACAAAGAAAACAATTTAAAAAGTTGAACTTACCATGCCACAAAGAAAGAAAACAAACAGCAAGAAGACCAAGATGTCGGTACATCCGCGGTTGTGTCGTGTGTTACTGAGTAATCCTTTCTCATCTTTGGCCTCCTGAAAAGTGCAGACATTTTCAATTAATCTCCAATTACCCGAGATTTGTCGTCTCATCCCCCCCCTCTCCCTCACGCTTAACAAATTAACATTCATTTCGTTTGTTTTACAACTTTGTTTACTAATGTCAAACAGTGCAAAATAAATTATTTTAAAAAATGTTTACTTTCTAGTTAAACAACACCAAATAAAGACTTGGTCGGGGGGGGGGGGGGGATGGAAGAACTATAAATAAATAGCTTAAATATCACACATTTCAATTCGGAAATTTATTTTTCACAAGAAAGAAGTAAAAAGAAAATCAAGTTTAAATTTAATCAAGAAATCGATTTTTGTTTTGTCTAAAGGGCTGGTGACGTCAGAATCCCCGACGCGATCCTAATGACGTCATGAGGAGATTATTTAATTTACTTCACAACAAAGGGCTGACAAATTTTATTTTATTCATTTATTTATTAGGCTCAAAAACATCCGCTCCGTTTTTAAACAGACCTTAAAATACGTACATACAAAGGGTTGAATGGCGAATAAAGTACTCGAAATTGGACTGTGTGATTTAGTCATTAAAAATAAACAGGCGCTGTTACGCAAGACTAGCTAGCTAAACAAAATGCTACTGTCCTTTTCTGGCGAACTAGCAGTTTCGCTGAAAATTAAAAAAGGTCCCTAGCCCCCCCCCCCCCCCCCAAACTAACAATAACTAGCCTCATCTTGGTGGCAATTTTAAAACAACCAAGCCTCGATCTAACAGGTCGCCTCGTTCTGGGACAAGCAGCCTTGACCTTTAACCGCCGCCATTGTAATAATTAGGGAACAGGATACTGGTTAATTAAAACACGAAGAGTTATGGAACTTCCCTCCACTATTACTTCCCTTACTTTAAAAAAAAATGTATCTCTTCTCCCAAATTCAAAGGGACTAAACGCTATACAAAATATCAGGCCATTGATACCTTAACAGTACACTGATATGATTTTAAAATGGTTTATTAAAAAAACAACTTATTAACCCCTCCCAGGGCATTAACAGCCAATTGTGCATGTTCAAATAAAATCCTGAATGTATCCTTTGATGTCTTTCAAAATCACGAGTTTTTTTTTTAAATACACTGCAAATGTGCTGCTTACAAAACCGCTAATCATTAGCGAGCCAGAAAGCTGTAAGGAGATGGGGGGGGGGGGGGTAGAGAAATGTGAGTGGGGGGTGTAGAGAAATGTGTGTAGAGGGGGTGTAGAAAAGACACACCGACCTTTTTTCTTTTAATTTTTTTTTATCAAAAGACAAACAGGTTTTTTTTCGCCCTTGCCCAAATAATATATGTAACAAGGTTATAAAGCCAAACGAGAAATGAAAAGCGGATCGGGGCAGATTTGCCGCCATCTTTAAACCATTTTTAATTTTGTTTAAAGTTTCTTTTTTTCTAAGGTTTTTATTTTTATTCATTGACTTTTCGAAATAATTTTTTTATTTTGAGGCCATTTTAATGGTTTGAATGCTTTTTTAAAAATGTATTTTTTTTTCTTTTTGAAAATTAGCAAATAAAATGATTTAAAAAATGTGTAACTTGTCTTTCCTTACAATGATCTATCCAAATGAAACTGAATATGTTTTTTCCTCTTGATTAAATAACTAGCATCTAAACCAAAAAAAAAGGTGATCTTGTCAGATATACTATGAAGAGTTTTGGAGGCGTCATTTGTAGGCTGGGGGTGGTCTGATGAAAGATTCTTAGAGACCTAATGTGTGTTGTAAGTTGGGGGGTGGGGTGGTGGTGGTGTTAGGTTTGAAGGACACGAGAGGCCAATGTTTCTACCACTTTGGTATTTCAGCGCTCTCTTAAACAAATTAATCTGCAACTAGTGTTTGGGTTTTTTAGGGGAATATGAATTCTCGCGTTGTTGGACACAACTCTTCTGAACAAAGAGACAAATTACTCGATGACAAGAATAAGATGTATATTTTTAAACCAACATTATTTTATTAAATTATTACAACAGAAAACAGGTTATTTTTATCCTTGAAATTTTCAGAAATTTATAAATAGATAAAATTGGTTGAGTTTATTTTTATTTTTTTATTTTTTGCCAAAAGTTCAATGCGTACGTCTGGAATTTGTGAAATTATTTTAAGCTTCGTGTTTTAAAATAACTGCCCACACATGTATCAGTCGGGGGCGGTGTGGTGTTTTGTTTGAGGAGGTGGGGCGGAGAGGTATATCAACGTATGCTGCTAACCCGGAAGTCGATGTGAAAGAAGCGAAATTGATTTTAGGTGATGAAATGCCTTTCATATTTTATGCAGAAAAAAAGATGTGGATTAATTAACATCATGACAAATCGGAATTCGAAGCAATATTTTTTTATAACCCGGAAACGTTAAAATACGATTGTCAAGAAAAAAAAAGTAATTTTTATGGAGTTTTTACGCGTTGTTCTAAATTATTGCATGTATTTTATGAAATTTAGTTTCACCGCGATTATGAAATCAAATGAAAATAGCCGTTAAGAAAAAGAAATTGGTTCAAATTTGTACTTTAAATATTTGAGTGATAACGTTTCTTAACCCTGCACACTTTTCCATACTTTCAGCTTGTCATAGAACAAAATGTTTAGCTTGCCATAGAACTTCAAAATGTTTAGCTTGTCATAGAACAAAATGTTCAGCTTGTCATAGAACAAAATGTTCAGCTTGTCATAGAACAAAATGTTCAGCTTGTCATAGAACAAAATGTTCAGCTTGTCATAGAACTTTCAAATGCTAATCTTGTCATAGAACAAAATGTTCAGCTTGTCATAGAACATCAAAATGTTCAGCTTGTCATAGAACAAAATGTTCAGCTTGACATAGAACAAAATATTCAGCTTGTCATAGAACAAAATGTTCAGCTTGTCATAGAACAAAATGTTCAGCTTGTCATAGAACAAAATGTTCAGCTTGTCATAGAACAAAATGTTCAGCTTGTCATAGAACTTTCAAATGCTAATCTTGTCATAGAACAAAATGTTCAGCTTGTCATAGAACTTCCAAATGTTTAGCTTGACATAGAACAAAATGTTCAGCTTGTCATAGAACAAAATGTTCATCTTGTCATAGAACTTCCAAATGTTCAGCTTGACATAGAACAAAATTTTCAGCTTGTCATAGAACTCTCAATGGCCGCGGTGTTAAAACGACCAGTTGGTTTTCACATTGGAGTCTTGGCGTGTTTCACTTAGCTAACGACTCAGTTAATCGACCCAGCATTCACGCCCAACACCTGCCTATGGCTTAAAACACTAGATTAGCCAAGATGGTGCTTGGGGGTGGGGGTGATGGGGGGTGGGGGCACGTTTTCGTGCTGTAAAAAAATTAACTATTCGGAAAGAAAATCAATAGTATGCCCTTATTAATGAACAGCGTGGTTGGGCGGTAAAGCGCACGACTGCTTACCACAAAGTCTCGAATTCTGATTACCTGAGTTCACTCAGCTCAAATGAGTACCAGGCACTGCTTTTTATCTTTTTATTTTGAAATCGTTGTATTTATGTTTACAAAAAAAATTAAATTCACAAACAAAATGTAATGTATTAGTATCTAACATTTAACCACAGTTAAAGCATGCGATAAAACATTGTCTCTAACACTAGTGCAGTAAAGTCACTCTTCTAGTTATTTATGTCTTTTAGCGTCGTTAATGTGAGAACAGAACACACCGCTGACAACGAGGCTGGAGTCTCTAGATTAGGTGTCTTGGTGACAGGACAGGGAGATAATTCCTGCCCTAGTTTAGAGGGAAGCTAGTAGGGGAGTTAATCGATCGAGAAGGTTCTATTGTGAATCAGCATTTTTATAGGGATCGAGGTTTCTGAGATAGGTGGACTTTTACAAATGTGTGTGCATGACTGGAATCCCACCTATTTTGTACGCTAGCCTAATATCCCACTCTTCGCTAGAATCCCACCTATTTTATACTCACTCACCGTATACCCCATGCTCAATCTGAACCACTTACAACCACCCCACACACTCCACTTAACTAGAACTACCACACTCACCCAATTCAACTAGAACCACCCCACACACCCCACTCATCTAGAACCAACCCACACACCCAACTCAACTAGAACCATCTCACACACCCCACTCGACTAGAACCACCCCACACACCCCACTCAACTAGAACCACCCCACACACCCCACTAAACTAGACTTGACAAAAATATTTCCACTATATTCATTACATAGCTAACCAATCTAAACTAAAAGCAGACCCCCTGGACAATATCCTAACAATCTTGACCACACTAAACAAATACCCCAACAATCTTGACCACACTAAACAAATACCCCAACAATCTTGACCACACTAAACAAATACCCCAACAATCTTGACCACACTAAACAAATACCCCAAACAATCTTGACCACACTCAACAAATACCCCAAACAATCTTGACCACACTCAACAAATACCCCAAACAATCTTGACCACACTCAACAAATGTCCCAAAAATCTTGACCATACTCATCAAATAGCGCAACAATCTTGACCACACTCACCAAATACCCCATTTATCTGGACCACACTCATCAAATACTCCAACAATCTTGACCACACACAACTGACATCCCCCCCCTCCACACCCCTCCCCCAGCCCTTCCCATAACTAGTCCCGGGATCAATATCTCAAAAAAATGGAGCCTATAATATTCTTTCATGCAGTTTCTCCTCCTTTAACTCCTAGCTTGTGATTTTTCTTGATCCCACCGGCCCGGTGTGTGTGGGTGTGTGTGTGTGTGTGTGGGGGGGGGGGGGGGGGGGGTTGTGTTTGATCTGTGCCTGGCGTGAAGTTGTGGGTCACGGGGCGCGCGTGAAGAGTGAGCCGAGGACCAGGCATCCAGACATCTGTGACGTGAAAACATGATCCGCTCTGGAAATATTTGGAGAAGCTGGGAGAATTGTAATCAGGTCTCGGCGGCTTAAAGCTACACAAACAGTCTCGGCCCGGGGGGTGAGGGGGGTCGGGGGTGTGTGGGGGGGGGGGACGGTCCTGTCCAACAATAACATATGAGGTCTTTAGTAATGTTAAAAAGAAAGGGGGTTTTCAGTCCAATTTAAAAGGGATCAGGGGTCCTATTATAGAGTTTGAGGTCTTTTGTGTTATCGTGGAGAAAGGTTTTTTTTTAATGCCATATGAAAGGGGTCAGGGGTTTTACAATAGGTTGTGATATTGTTGGTACAGTAGGTCTATGTACAGGGAATACGTTGGTCCGATTATAATGCAATAATCGTGGGTCTGGGGTCACAAGAAAGGGTCATGAGGTCAGGTGAGGTCAGGTGAGGTCATGAGGAAATGGCATGTCTGAGATCTAGAACAAAACAAAATGTCCCTCATAGGTCATTCTCGTCCTGACAGGTCTATGTCATAGGTCTGTCCGACATCTGACATGTGAATTTGTCAAAAGTCAGTCTCAGTCATCTGATAGGTGTATGTCATAGGTCTGTCTAAATCATCTGACAGGTGTTTTTGTCATAGGTCAATCTCATTAGATAGGTCTATTTGTATCGTTCGAAAGAATGGTCAGTACAGTGATGTTTTTGGTTTTGGTTTTGGTTTTGGACGAAACGAAATATTGCCTGGGTTTACATAACAGATTAAAATATGTGTAACTAGACATTAAAGGCGGTTTGTGGTTTTTCTCTTGGGGTCTGTTTCTATAGTAGAAAAAAAAAATTCTTCTCATCACATAAGAAAGGCGGGCACGACATATGGTCCATTGTTGGTTGTCTGATAGCACGGTAAGGTGTGGTGGGAAGGAAGTAGGCTTTGATGTTACAGATAATGAGAGGTGCGAGAGTGGGAGGGGGGGGGGGGGAGAGGTGGAGGGGTGAGGAATAATAGCTCAGTGGCCGTTATGTTGTCTTAAAGACATAACAGAGATATTTTTTTAGTCCTGCAACTAGTTGACTAACTTCCTGAGATTTAAAAAAAAAATGTTTTGCTGTCCTCGAAATAAAAATATAAAATTGTTTACTGTATTCGAAGTTTAAAAAAATGGTTTTCTCTCCCAGAAATAAAAAAAACATTTACTATCCCAGGTATAGTTTTAAGGTATAGTTTTAAAAACTTTTATTTTACCATTAATATAAAAAATTGGTTAACTGTCCCCGAAATTAAAAAAAAAATATATAGTTTACTGCTAGTATAAAAAAAACAACATTTTTTTTGTTTCTGAAATAAAACATGGTTTCCTGTATAAGTCAAGGGTCAGAGGTCAGAACCCGCCAATACACGTGTGGAGTGTTGATTAACGCCCGCACAAACCGGACATAATTAGATCAAGGACGCAATTAGCCACAAGATGACCAAGACAAAGCCGAGCAAGTAGCACCGACGTATTACATTTTTTTTTCACAGCGGCTAATTTAGCGTAATTAAGATCCCAGTGTAATTACGATCCCAGCGTAATTAAGATCCCAGTGTAATTAAGTTTTCCAGCAGGCACGCCGGCCTGACACGGGTCCGACAAATATTGACACATTTACAACCGACTGCTGTTCGTGTATCGATCTATCGATCTAGCACCTCGCTCAGCACACACTATGATTGGGTCGGCCGGCATATCGGTTTCGTCTCGTCACCACCTGATGGTGTTATAAAGGGGTCGTCTTGTCATCCCCTGATGGTATTTTAAAGGGGTCGTCTTGTCAACATTTTAAAGGGGTCGTCTTGTCACCACCTGATGGTGTTTTAAAGGGGTCGTCTTGTCAACACCTGGTGGTGTTATAAAGGGGTCGTCTTGTCAATACCTGATGGTGTTATAAAGGGGTCGTCTTGTTATAATCTGATGGTGTTTTAAAGGGGTCGTCTTGTCAACACCTGATGGTGTTATAAAGGGGTCGTCTTGTCATCATCTGATGGTGTTATAAAGGGGTCGTCTTGTCATGATCTGATGGTGTTATAAAGGGGTCGTCTTGTCATAATCTGATGGTGTTATAAAGGGGTCGTCTTGTCATAATCTGATGGTGTTTTAAAGGGGTCGTCTTGGCACCATCTGATGGTGTTATAAAGGGGTCGTCTTGTCATAATCTGATGGTGTTTTAAAGGGGTCGTCTTGCCATAATTTGTTGATGTTTTAAAGGGGTCGTCTTGTCATAATCTGATGGTGTTTTAAAGGGGTCGTCTTGTCATCATCTGATGGTGTTTTAAAGGGGTCGTCTTTTCAGCACCTGATTGGGGTTTAAAGGGGTCGTCATCATCTGATGGTGTTATAAAGGGGTCGTCTTGTCCCCACCGGATGGTGTTTTAAATGTATGCAATTGATCGTATAGGAGAATGACAAAAATAATTGGGTACTTCTATAAAAAGTGCTGTTGAACTCGACGGACTGAAAGAGATAATATGATTGTCTTTGCGTCATTCTAGACATCACGTTATTCTAGAGATGGTTGCTTTAGAATAGCGAAGACTGATAGCAAGAACTAAATACTATCAGAGAGAAAAGGACTGTAGTTAACTTTTTGTATCATGTTAGGGGTTGTCTATAAATGACGTCACACTCGTAGGTGGGTTAGGTCCGTAATTTTGTGACGATGTGTGATGGGGGGGGGGGAGGAGGTAAACATCGTCAAAAATCGTGACGTCATTTATGGAATCCCCCCCCCCCTTCTGCTCTGGATCGCCTTAGGGACGGGCAGAAAGAGGGAGTTAACCTGTGGCACAGGACAGACGCCACCACGGCGGAAGTGACCGCTGGTGAATTAGAGCGATGACCGGATGTGCTTGTTGGCGGGAACACCGCAGCAGCAGATGTGGCCACTCGTTAAGTCATGAAAAGAGCGCGAGATTTAGCGCGAGATTTAGCGCGAGATTTTGTTTTGTCCAACATTTTTTTTTAAATTTTTAAAAGCTATGCATTTTAAAAATTGATAATTTCGTTAGTTTGTTGAGATAAACGATGTCACACATTCGGAGTGAACTTTCCACCCCCACATCCACCCACGAAGATTTACATTTGGAATAGCTTTCAATGTTTACAAAACGTCGCAGAGTGTGAGTCCATCTAAGGTGTTAGTTTAATTAAAAGCGAACATATTGGAAAACTGCAGTTCACATAATTGGTAAGTCAAATTTAAATCAACTCTGTCTCTGTTTCAGAGGGCAGTTCACCTTGTCAGAAGACAGTTAACTTTGTCAGAGGACAGTTCACTTTGTCAGAGGACAGTTAACTATGTCAGAAGACAGTTCATTTTCGCAAACTGAGTTGGATTCGAACACTGAACAACAACATGGGTTGTCGGCCGATTTTTGCAAGCTCTGTGACATGTCGCGTCATTGTAAGGAGGAGCCTAAAGTTGGATTACGGATGAAACTTTAATCCTTTATTAAAACATATATATGTAAAGCAGGTCACGAGAGCAAGTGACCTGTTGGAGGTACGCAAAGGGGGGAAATTCTTTACCCAGTGTCTAAAAATATAATCTTTCAGCGTTGTTGCGGACATTAAGTATACGGGAACTTGTTTTTTTTTTTTACATTTTGGCTTTTTTTTTTGTACGATCTGGATATTCATATCTTCACTTTAAATAATTTACACCCCATATCTTAAACACAAGAGCTGTAATATATGCAAATTTACTCAAAGACTAGTAACATTTGACCACAAATCAACAAGCCTTGTAACAATAACACACACGTAACTTTGTGACACTAAGAAAGATGAAACATGGCTTACCTTGCCGTTCTTGTGACACCCCCCACACATTATTGCCAGTCTCATTCACCTCCCGCTGGTGTAGACTCAAAGGTGAAGGTCTCACTTGAATGGTCTCCCTTGAATGGTCTCCCTTGAATGGTCTCCCTTGAATGGTCTCCCTTGAATGGTCTCACTTGGTCTGACTAAGCTGGTCTCAATAGAATAGTCTCGATTCAACTTTGGACTAATATAGCCACGGATTTTGAAGATCAAAACCCAAAACAAAATTCAGGCTATGAACCAATCATTCTATTCTATATTTAATGTTTTTGTTAAAGTAGATTTCACTCGGTTCGAATCACTGATGGAGAAGCCAGGTAATGACGGAAGTGACCAAATGTCAAACCAAATCAGCTTCAACGGTTAAATGAAGAGATTAGCTTTGGACATTTAGTCGGAATATCTGAAAAAATAAAACAAAAGTTATATTAGAAAGAAGCACAAGATTATCAAAATGTTCTTATATTAGCTATACAGTATATACATACACACATACACACACACACACATATATATATATATATATATATATATATATATATATATATATATATATATATATATATATATATATATATATATATATATATATATATATATATATATATATATGTGTGTGTGTGTGTGTGTGTGTGTATATAAATATTTATGTGTCTGTCTTTTTGCGTGTGTGTGTTTCTGTGCAATACCGCCAAAGTATGCAGTTTACATACCCACTTAAGTGATATAAATTAAACATGTGCATGTTTCAACCGTAATGGGCCATTTCCTGTTTTAATAAAATCACACACGGACCCTAATCAATCGAAACCTAATCAATCGATAGGTGAACCACATCAATCAATAGACCGACGATGGCTGGGGCAAGGGAGAGTTTCCCCTCCCCCGGTGCTCCCCCCCCCCCCCCCCCGGGCTAGTACAACAATTATTGTTTCAATACGCCACAGCCACATATCATTGTTTGGTGTTGGTAGAGACATTAAGGCCAAACGTCAAATGTAGAGGTTTTATACGGGGGAGTAAATAGGCTGGGTGGAAACTACATTGTGTTGATGTGGTAGTAGTGTGCGTCGTGTTGGTCAAATGTAAGTGTTTGTGCTGCACATATAAGTCTTTTTCTTGCACATACAAGTATTTTTGTTGCTCATACAAGTCTTTTTCCTGCACATACAAGTATTTTTGCTGCACATACACGTTTTTTTTCCTGAACATACAAATCTTTTTCTTGCATATACAAGTCTTTTTCTTGCATATACAAGTCTTTTTCTTGCATATACAAGTCTTTTTCTTGCATATACAAGTCTTTTTCTTGCATATACAAGTCTTTTTCTTGCATATACAAGTATTTTCGCTGCACATACAAGTCTTTTTGCTGCTCATACAAGTCTTTTTCTTGCATATACAAGTCTTTTTCTTGCATATACAAGTCTTTTCGCTGCTCATACAAGTCTTTTTGCTGCTCATACAAATCTCTGTGTTGCACACACCAGTCTTTAGGTTGCATATGCACACCTTTGAGCAGCACATATAAATCTTTTTGCCGCACAGAACTCCACAGATCACTAGCCTCGTTGCCGCACGGCACCCCACATGACCTCAGCCTCTTTGCCGCGCGGCACCATTGAGAAACGCCATTATCCCGCTTGAGAACGTAACCCTTTGATTGATTATTTTCAACTCGGGCCATTTCTTCCGTCCACGGTCCGCTGCCCATTCTCGTCTCGCCAATTTCTCGATCTATGTGGTCCGTCTCTCCCGTCCATTGTTTCTCTCTTAAGTTTTTTTTTTTTAGTTATTTTGTCTTGGAGGATTTTTTTCTTTTGTAGTTAAGAAAGTGGATACATTATTGAAACAAACAGGTACTTAATAAACTCAACACGTAGAGAAAAAAGTTTCGAACAAACGTCTTTTGTCAGAATAGGAACAAATAAAATGTAAAGAATAATAAGGATGTGGAAATTGAAGGAGTTCTAATACAGAGAGACTTACAAAATTGAGTAGTATAAAGTAAGGGAGTAGGGAGATGACATTGCTATTTAGCCTCGGTTTCTGATATTTGCACCAACACATAGTCGCAATCAGGCGCACGATGAAAAGACTTTGTTTAAAAATATAGTCAAACAGTCAAAATAATTTGTTTGAGGCCTACAAGTAGGTCCACACTAACCATCTGGCTATACTACAACACCGTCTGGTTATATCACAGTAACCATCTGGTTATATCACAGTAACCACCTGGTTAGCCATCGGTTAATGGACAAAGTTTGTCACACGTTATCACGGAGTGTCGTCACTTCCCTTCAATCAGAAATAAACAAGAGAGAGACTTTGGGGAGTTGATTAAAAAACAAACAAAACAAAACCTTAAGGTCTTTGTGTGTGTGGGGGGGGGGAATTAAATAACAGGAACAGCTTTAGTCATTTCGCGATTTTTGTTTAATATTGACAAAGATCTTTTTTTTTTTTTAAATTACTGATGAAGATTTCAGAGAAAAAGCCACCAGCGATAAAATTAGGAACTGCCAACATTCAATACAGGCAGTGTTTCTTCCAGACTTTTTTCTCCGGGGGGGGGGGGGGGGGGGGCACTTGAAATTTTCGGGGGGGGGGCGGTAGACTTTCTTCGGGGGGGGGGGGGGCGGACACTGTTAAAAGTATATATTTTCTATATAAATTATATAAATTTCATTTCGTTCGGGGGGGGGGGGGGGGGCGGTAAAAATTTTTCGGGGGGGGGGGGGGGGGCTTTGCCCCCCGAAGAGATGCCTGGAAGAAACTCTGAATACAGGAATGACCAACTGCGGGAACGACCAACAAACTTCACAGTAGGAATGACCAAAGTTACCGCGGGAATGATACTTGAAAACACGTGCTCCACCGTCACTCACTACAATACGGGAATGACCAAGGAAAGTGCTTACAGAAATGACCAAGGAAAGTGGCTGCAAAAATAAACAAGAAAAGCGCTTACAGAAATGACAAAGAAAAATACGTACAGAAATGACCAAGGAAAGTGCTTACAGAAATGACCAACGAGAGTGACTCCAGAAACAGCCAATGAAAACACTCGCCCCAAGTCCATTAACCAACCGATGTTCGCGTACCGTGACCAGGGGCGATAACCCACCAGCTAATGGTTTCTAATGGCAGGAGTAAACGAACCCTGAGCGGCTACATGGACTTAATGATAGCTAATAATAACACTCGCTTAAAGTCTGGGGGGGGGGGGGGGGAGAAGGAGGAGGATGCGGGGGGTGGGGGGGGGGAATGTCTACTTGTAGCAATATGAGACTTGAGATTAGCGCAACTTCAGAAATACAACACCAGAACTTAATGAACACGAGTAGTTAATTATAGGTTTAGAATACGACACGTTTCGTAAGTCTTTTTGTGTGTTGGCTCTACGGTTTTTGTTGTTGTTTATCTACGTCATCAAATATGTTGTAGTTATTCGCTCCAGGATAGATTTCTTTAAAAAAGTAAATCCAGCAGGAAAAAAATGACTAGAAAATAGAATTTAAAAAAAATTGCAAGAACTATTTGAGCAATTAGACACGTTTACCCAGCACTTCAAACCCATACAAAACTTATTGGGTCGGAGGAAAGGGGGGGGGGGGGGGTAATATCTAACAAAAATCTCACCCTCGCTGTGTTACAAAAAGAAGGGAAAATGACCTGACGGTGTACCATACCAATTCATACAAGCTTGGATCAGTTCAAAATACTAATTTACGTTGACCAGTCAGGTTTTAATTGGAAATTCTGACCACCACCCTCCCTCCCCTCTCCCCCTCTTTGGCCAGTTGAAGTAAAATAATAAAATAAGCCCCAGATTATGTTTGCTACAAAATTCGAAAAATAATATAAACGATAAAACTTGTTTTTTTTCTCAATCTTAGCCATTTGAAATAAAAAAAACCACAAATTATGACCCTGGTTATGTATGTATGATACGAATTAGGGAAATTAAAAAAAACTTACACAAATGATCTAGTCTGCTTGCCATATAATAATTTGAGGTTTAAAAAACGAACGACCCAATCTAACTGGATTATTTTAAAAAAGTAAAAAAAAAATCTAGTCTGCTTACCATATAAATTGTTTTGTGATTTAAAAACTAAAACAGATGACCCAGTCTGATTTCCATAGAATCGCCAGGGGATTAAAAATAAAACTAAAATAAATGACCCAACCTGACTATCATAGAATCGCTCACGGATTAAAAAAAACAATGACCTAGCCTGACTATCATAGAATCGCCAGGGGGATTAAAACAACTAAAATAAATGACCGAGCCTGATTTACATAGAATTACTTGGGATTTTTTTTAAAAGTAAAACAATGGCCCAGTTTGAATATCGTAGAATCGTATGGGGAATTAAAAAATAAAACAAATGACCCAGCTTGACTACCATAGAATCAGAAGGGGGGAACAAAAAAAAACTAAAATAAAACAAATGACCCAACTTGACTACCATAGAATCCGAAGGGGGGGGGGGGGGCACAAAAAAAAAACAACTAAAATAAAACAAATGACCCAGCTATAGAACCGCACGGGGAATTTAAAAAAAGTCAAACAAATGACCCAGGCTGACTACCATAGAAACTTCTTAGGGGCTGTTCTGGGCTGACCCGCTGCAGTGAGACTCCGGCTTGACTAGGCAAATCGTTCCTCCAAGATCGAGCTTTCTTCTAAACAAGGGCTTAAATCGATAGGGGAAGCTGGGCAGGGGGGGGGGGGGAGAAATTGACAAAACAGCCGAGGACAATGTTTCGCTACGGGGTCTAAAATTAAATAAGGGGAGGGGGCGGGAGACCTAAAGGTAAGGGGTGGGGTGGGGTCAGGATTAGGGGAAAGAAAATTGTGTTGAGGAAGATAAGGTGTTTTGGTAAGAATTGGATGGGTGGATTGGATGGGTTGGTTTGGTGGATTGATTGACGAGATAAAACAGGAAGTGACGTGTCAGGACGAAAAGGGCCGTTGTTAGTGGGGTAGAGGGTGGGGGGGGGGGGGTTGCTCGGGGTTTTAATTAAATCTATGTCTCTTTATTTTACACTTGTTGAGAGTTTTTTTTTAAATCAGGGCGCAACTTTTGTGTGTACGGATGTGTGTTTGTGTAAATGTGTGTTTGTGGGTGTGTGGTAATATACACAAGACGACGTGTCAATATGTGGGAGTATGATGTGTGTTGCTTAAGTTAGTGTAAGGGAATAATAATGTCAAGGTTAGTGCTAGTTTCATGATTTCGATTGGCGCCCGAATCCCATAATGGTAAATGGTTGTAATATAAACCCCAGCTTAACAATACACCGAGGTGTTTACTTGTACACGTATAACAGTTAGGGTTATGTTAAGGTACAAGGTCTTGGGTTAGGATAGCGATACCAGTTAAATAAATACCCCTCAATACATCTAGTCGACGTTTTTACAAGTCCCAGGGAAAGTACCGGGCATAAAAAAAATGGGGGCGTTTGCCGCGGAAGAAAACATCAAGTCTAAATATTGATCCCGGATATCGATCTATGTTCGTCTACTAATCAATAAGAAAAAAAAAATCAAGATTGAAACTTTGTGTTGGGATTGACCAGTGTCCAGCTTCAAGATGGTTGGTCTATTAATAGAACCGGACGTTGAAACGTCTGCACTTGAGAAGTGTTCTTGACAAACCGGTAGCGAAACATAAATACAAGGGCAAGTTAAAATTTATGAATAGGCAGAAAATAGCGGGAAATAGATGGTACGAAACAAACAATAAAATATAAAAACTTGGTGGGAAACACTTTTTTTTTTTTAGAAAAAAAAATAACCATAAAAATGATAAAGGTAAAAAGACAAAAATTGTAGATTTTTTTTAGTCTTACTGTCGAACGTTTGTCAGCAAGTTTGGTTTTATTAGACAAAGTAAACAAAAGGTTGGGAAGAAAACATTAGCGGTTTGTATTGGTATGAGAGGAACTGAGGGGATGGGGTGTATAGGGGTGGGGGGGGGGGGGGGTAAGGGGCGTAGAGGGGCAGGAGGGTTAAGGTGAGAGTGTAAGAGAGAGGGGGGGGGGCGATGAAAGAAAAAGATTGTAATGTCAGATAAGAAAAAGAGTTCCCGCGAGAGTTTTGATCAACTGTCGTGTTGGCGTTACAATTCGGCAGAGACTGACCAGCAGTGGTCAAGTTGACGAGAGAATTTGGGCCGGCCCCGCCTCCTTCAACAGGTGGGTCAAGGTGACCAAGACAGCGTAGATGTCTCGGCAAGATTTTCATTAGTGAGGAGAAGGTAGCAGGGGAGGGGGGAACATTATCTGGGGTGGGGGGGGAGACATTAACTAGAAAGATGGCAGGGTAGTGTTTTCTATTGAGAAGGTTGTGGATGTCACTGACTGTGATGTTTATGGTGGGAGGTGAGGTGACTGTTATTTAGTGCTTTGTTTAAGTGTTTGTTTTGATTAGTTAACTGGCAATTGAACTGTCGGTTTAACTGCCTGTACCCCCCCCCCTTCCCTTATAAATGGCTGTTTGTTGAACTATTTGCGTATTTGAACGTGTCGTTAGTTCATGATTTCTGTGCACAATTCTTAGAATATGTTATTAGTTTCTTTGTATGTGTGGGAAGTGTTTGTTTTTTTAAAATCTTAATGAAACCTAAGATTTTATAAAGCGTATCCTTTTTAGCCACAAACAAGTTCTCAACTTATTCATTTAACTATTCATTAATTTACTTTAATCAATACATAGACCCCTATTTTTTACGTGAATGCCGATGTCTAAAAATCGCCATATTTAAATTTTCGTTCGCAAAAAAAAAAATGAAATAAATAAACGTGGAGGGTTTATCAACGGAATTTTTTCGTTTACTTTCTTTCATGGAAAAATGATTTCGCCGAAAATGGATTTAAAAAAATAATTTCTGCATATCTTCCTTCAACATCCGCTTGAAGACAGCGTTGGGAAATTATCGGCTATCAGAGGGGACACGGGAAATGGAACATGCTGGGGGAACAGGAAATAGGGGAGAATACTTGAAGTGTGGGGACATAGGGAGGTGCAAGCATGGAAGCATGAGAAGATAAGGGGAGAGAATACTTGAAGTGTAGAGACACAGAGAGGTGCTAGCAGAGAGGTAAGTGTATAGAGGAGATAAGGGGAGAGAATACTTGAAGTGTAGAGACATAGGGAGGTTCTAGCAGAGAGGTAAGTGTATAGAGGCATAAGGAGATAAACTTTCTTCAAAGTTTAAAAAAAATACGGTTTGTTTTAAGGTTAGGCTTTACTCGAAGATTTTTTTATTTTGTTAATTCAAGGGTCCAACAATGTATTTTTAAAAAAAATCATGTTAAAAAGTTTAAAGGTTTTCCAAAAGATTTTATTTATTCTGTTAGTTCAAGCGTTAAAGAGTTTCTGAAGTTTTATTTTTAAATTCTGGCACTTCAAGGGTCAAAGAGTTTTATTTTTAAATTCTGGCAGTTCAGGGGTTAAAGAGTTTCTCCAAAAATAAACGTTACTTCACACTATGAGTCAGCGCTTGAATGGCTTGAAGTAGACATTAACTTATCACATACGTTCACACACTTATCACGGTCATTTAGCGGTATGATAAACACTTATCATGATATAATCTAATCTTGTAGTAGCAGCGTATCTAGTGACATATCACCAAAATAACATAAATAGTGCCTAAAATACATTATCATCTAGATTTAGTTTACATAACACAATTTTGTTCTAAAAACATAATTATCTTAAACCACATACAGGGACATAACTATGACGGGGAGTTTAAGGCTCGCTTTGTGATATGATTTCTGCTAGATCTAGCTATAACAGGGCTGATGTGAATGTCATTGAAATGTGAATGATAACAAAAACAATAACTCATTTTAGACTACACGGAAGCATGAGAAAATTATGACCGCATACAAATCTGGATAAAATTATGTCTTTATAGAAACAGGACATTTGAAAATTGACAATACAGAAACATGACATTTGAAAACTGACAATACAGAAACATGACATTTCAATACTGACAATACGGAAACCTGAATAACAAAAAATGACAACCCGGAAATAGGACATTTCAAGCAATAATCAAAAAGAAATATCAACAAAAAACAGACGACAGTGTCGGCTGATGTATCGGTAGGCTGGGTTGGTCTGCCCTTTGTGGGTTCGTCACGGGCGCTGAAAATAGGGCGCTAGGGCGCTTTGAACATAGACCCGACATCGTTTTTAACATAGGGCGCTTTAAACACAGATCGTTTCTAACATAGGGCGCTAGGGCGCTTTGGACATAGACCCGACATCGTTTTTAACATAGGGCGCTTTGAACACAGACCATACATCGTTTTTAACATAGGGCGCTAGGGCGCTTTAAACATAGACCCTACATCGTTTTTAACATAGGGCGCTAGGGCGCTTTGAACATATATCCTACATCGTTTTTAACGTAGGGCGCTAGGGCGCTTTGAACACAGACCCTACATTGTCTTTAACATAGGGCGCTAGGGCGCTTTGAACACCCGACCCCACACCGGTTTTTAGCAGGGATCTTTCCTTAAGTCTTCGTATCGGTTAAAACAATTTTATTTCTATTGAAACCCGCTATAGCGACTTCTCACTGTTTAGTATTGTTTGTTTCTTTCTTCATTAAAAAAAAACAAAGTAAAAAAAACCGCTCAGTTAAAATCATCAGCTGATGTTGTTCCGACTTACTCGCCACTTTATGATTTCAACATAGTCACATTTGAAGCAGTCTAATAAGTCATGACTGTGATAAAGTAGGCAGTATTATGTACACTCGTCATGATATTACAATTATGTACTAATTACTGACTTCATTAAAATTGGACCACCACGAATGTCTCTAATTGCCAAAGCATGTCATAACATCCAGGGTTGTTAATATGACTTGTGTAAGTCATATGACTTACACTAGTCATATAACTAACTAAATAAGTGATGACTTAGGCAAGCTCAACTAGCAGTCATTAAACTAGACTAGCCTCGACCATGACTTGGACTGCCGCGGTCATGACTGAAATACCAAGTCATGACTCACAATACAAAAAATGACTTAAATTGGCAGTCATGAGCCGTACTGACACTGGTATGACTTAATTAAAGTCATGACTTCAAAGTTAAGTCAACTTCAGACACGACTAAACCCTATGACTGAAGTAAACGACCACTGACTCAAGTAAAAATATCCAAAACATGACTTCATTCACCAGTCAAGAAAAAAAAAAGAAATGACTTAGAACTACAACAGTCATGACTTTAATACAACCCACCTTGTTATTCCGAAACGGCTCTGAATAAACCACTCCATCCTCAGAAACACCACACAACCACTATCAACAACAACATAAAAAAAAACAACTTACCCCAACAAATCTAGCCCGGCACCACTCGACAGAATCAAAGAAATCCTCTGAGACGAGTAGCGATGCCACCACGCGAATGGATGAAAGCATATGCCACCACAGACCGAACACACAGGCGAGTGTTGGAACTGGCACCGGGGCGCTTTATCTACACGTACTCACGTGGCTCATGCCGTCATGGACGCGCGCGCGGGGGGAAAGTCGCGAGAGAGGCGATCTACTCACGCGCACTCTCCCCCCCCCTCTCTCCCCACCTCTCGCGGTAGATAGACCCAGCGCAGGAATTAAAACACAGGCTGTTTTGTGAATGAGGCTATACACAGCTTTCTTTAATTAGAACGCTACGCAGGCGCCCCCTAATGAGAAGATAATCCTTCTTTTCGTCGACAAGCAACAGCAATTGTTTATACATAAGGGATAACTAATAGGTATTATAAGTCAATAAACAAGTCGGAAAAGAATAGAAACAATCTTACTTCTAGTCATAATAATGGGACTTGTTTATATGAGAAAAACAAAAACAGGATTGAGTTCCTTGGAGACATAAACGTATGGGAACTTGGGTTCCTCAGTTATAAAAGACAATTGTGTCTTGCTTTCCCACATGGGCGTATGCTGTCTTCGCCGACCCTAGACGGTAGATAACAGAGTAATCTCGTCCACCTTTTTTAACGGTTGAAAGTTTCTTGTTTATTATTTTAAAGGGAAACTCCCTTAGGCGTGGCGAAGTGTTTTTTTACGTTGTGTCGATGTAAATGTTGTTTTTAAAAGGCTGTCTCTTTTGTTTACTATGTGAGACAGACGTGATAGCTTCAGTGTAGATAAAATAAAAGTTTGTGATTCAGCGTTTGAACAGCTGAGTAGTGATGCTGTACATGGCTGTATAAAGCTGTACTAGGCTGTACAGTACACAGATTTACATGACTGTACACAAGACTGTAAACGACTTTACACGGTTGTACGAAATTATACAAGGTTTTTATAATGTCACCTAGCAAGGTCACGCTTTATGACTTTAAAGTTGTGACACAAGATGACCACGTTAAGACATGTAATGACCACGTTAAGATATGTAATGACAATGTTCAGATATGTAATGATGATGTTAAGACATGTAATGACCTTAAGATATGTAATGACCATGTTAAGATATTTTAATGACCTTGTTAAGAAATGTAATGCCCACGTTAAGACATGTAATGACCTTGTTAAGACATGTAATGACCATGTTAAGATATATAATGACCACGTTAAGATATATAACCAAATGTCGTACGCAATATAACAAAATGATAAACCATCTTTGTATATATATATATATATAGTTTGTATAGGATCGCTCCTCAGATGACTGTTGTATTAGAAGGTGAGCACTAGACTCCACAGTGTGAGGACCCTTGAACCCAGAAACAGGGTGAGTGAGAATAAATGAGGGCACTCAGCTTATGAACACTCGTCCTATCTGATGGTCGCGCATGTCCACATGTTAACTAGAGGCTACACTCGGATACCGCTGATATGAGCGTGTGTTTGTGTGTGGGGGGGGGGGGGAAGGGCAGGAGATGTTGGGATAGATGTTACATTGGCATAGAATAGTAGGTGGCATACATATTGTTGGATGTGGCGTAAAGTGTCGGATGTGTAGGAGAATATTGGATGTGTCAGAAAATGTTTGATGTGTTGGATAATGTTGGGTCTAAATTATACAGTTGGATGTTTCGTAAAATGTTGGATAGGCGAAAAATGTTGGATGTGTCGTAGAATGTTGTACCAGAACAAAAGTATCGAAACAAAAGAACCAGAACAAAACATTAACGTAATTTATGAGTCATTTTTTTTCATAAATTAGCTGGTAAGCCCTTAAAAGTAAGGTATGCTTCCAGACACCCCATATTGTAGATGAAGCTGAGTTTATCGGTTTCTCTGACCTCGACCTTCTCCCCACACCCAGCCAGGGGGGAAGTGTGTGTTTCCTGTGTGAGTCAATACAACAAACGTGACCAGCTGGTTTTTGAACTCACGACTTGAATGTGCCGCTCCTCAGATCGAAGCTACGCGTGAATTACTTTCAGAATCCAACGTTACCAGAGAGTTTTACTCCAGCTTAGCTGATTAGCTCAGTTAAGCTGATTGAGCTAAAAGTTACTTAAACTCTCTAGCGAAACCAGAAGCTCTAGTTTAAAGTGGAACAAAATTTAGCTCTGATTGCATAACTTAAACCTCCAAAAAAAATTGACATTAAAAAACAACAACCTATTATTGCGAGTTACAGTGAAACAGCTGATGCTTAAGTAAGGTGCCGGGTTTCTTTCAGGCATCTGAAGCACGTCTACCGCTCCACCCACCCCAGAGGCTAATCGCATTTATTTACAAAATATTATACTTTAACCGTGTATAAAGAAAAGAAATGTACCCCTACCCTCTTCAATACAACCAAGCCATCCCATTGCACATAATAATGTTGTCAAATCACCACGACAACAATCCGACACACGACGACACACACATACACGATGACAACAATCCGACACACACATGCACGACAACAACAATCCGACACACACATACACGACGACAACAATCATACACACGACGACACACATATAAACGACGACAACAATCCGACACATAAACTAACCCACATACAGGTACAAAAAAAAAAACGAAGACGCCAACCAATTTTTCCGCCATCAACACCTTTCCTTACCATCTCCCCCTCCTCCCATTTACAACACAATCACCCTTGTTTAACCATCCCCCAATTCAATTGTTCGATGACTTTTTAATTCACACAATCAACCCTGGACCTGGACATTTCGGCCAAGCTGACGGTAATTTGAAAGCCAGGTCTAAAAAGAAGAAAAAAAAAAACCCACAGGGAGATAACCGAGCCGACAAAAAAAAAATCTGGGAACCGAACGCTCGCATCAAACGGCCATTATTAAGCGCGCAAACCTGGCACGCTGGGAATACAGCCTTATTTAATTAAAGTTGTAGAATTGACAAGCGCCGGACGGCCATATCAACAAAATCAAACATGGCGCCTGGCGAGAGAGAGAGGAGGGAGTCAGATAATTTCGAAAGGGGGAAGGGGAGGTTTCCTAATGGAATCGATACCAAATTGATCGAATAAAAAGTATCGGCGCTGAAAGAATAACCCGGCAGTTGAAACGGCGTTAGCTCTAATGGACTAGGTACCTCCTGGGGAATCTGTACTCACGGAGCGAGGGGGGGGGGGTGGGGGTGGGGACACGGAGCAAGTTCCGGTGATTAGTTCGTGTTTGATAACATTCCATAATATCCTAGTACAAGGTGTTGAAGCCCGCCCCTCCCCTGGAACCTTTTACTGTTAATGTTGGTGCGATCATGCGGCCCCATCGATTACCCCCGGCTCACTCGTATCTCAATTATCTCCCTTCATTGTTTTAGTGTTGGGTACCCTCGACTTGTTGCCTTCGATAAAGTTCTGGCGAGGTACCCACCAATTGTATTTGTCCAGTGCTGTATCGAGGTACCCACTGACTTATTTTGTCCAGTGCTGTATCGAGGTACCCACCAATTTGGTCTGTCCAGCAGTGCTGTATCGAGGTACCCACCAAATTTGTTTTTCCAGTGCTGTAGCCAAATCGAGGTACCCACTATTCCGATAATTTCTTCATACAGGTACCACCAAATAATCTTTTTTCCAGTACCTCACGGATGCGCCCACCATTTCGTTATTTTACTCGACTGGTACTCATCATTTTGTTCATGGCTTTATTTAGGTACCCAAAATATTTCATTTTTTTCTTCTAGTTATCAGTACCTACAAACTTATTTTTTGTGTTGTTGTTGTTTTTTGTTTGTTAAAAAGACAAAAATATTCTGCTTCATAGAGATAGGATATTTCCCTTTACAAAAAATGTTCGCTTTATAGAACGTAGGGGACGGCGTGGTCCGATGGTAGAGCATACGACTGCCAACAAAAAATTTTCATTTCGAATCCCGGGTTCTTGTCTGTAGACCGTTTCTGAGTTCATCCAGCACTAATGGGTACCTGACCCACGTTAGGGTAAGTAAATTCTGCTGGGCAACTAAATGACCACACCATCAGTCATACGTCATAGGTCACTAAAAACAAATGAGCTCTACTTCACCTGCTTGCCGATGTTAAGCTGCTGTCTTCGTCTGATTGACCCAGCTCTCATATACAACTAACCAACCCTTGTAGAACACTGACCGGCTCCCATAGTTAACTACCCAGCTCCCATAGTAAACAAGCTCCCATAGTAAACACACCAGTTCCCATAGTAAACTAACCAGCTGCTAGAGTAAACTAACCAGCTCCCATAGTAAACAAACCAGCTCCCATAGTAAACACACCAGTTCCCATAGTAAACTAACCAGCTGCTAGAGTAAACTAACCAGCTCTCCTGTTGTACACAAACCGGCTCCCATAGTAAACTAACCAGCTGCTAGAGTAAACTAAACAGCTTCTACAGGAAACAAACCAGCTCCTATAGTAAACTAACCGGCTCCCATAATAAACAAACCAGCTCCCATAGTAAACAAACCAGCTCCTATAATAAACAAACCAGCTCCCATAGTAAACTAACCAGCTCCCATAGTAAACAAACCAGCTCCTATAATAAACAAACCAGCTCCCATAGTAAACTAACCGGCTCCCATAGTAAACTAACCAGGTCCCATAGTAAACTAACCAGTTCCTATAGTAAACAAACTAACTCCCATAGTAAACTAACCAGCTCCCATAGTAAACTAACCAGCTCCCATAGTAAACAAACCAGCTCCCATTAGTAAACTAACCAGCTCCCATAGTAAACTAACCAGCTCCCATAGTAAGCTAACCAGTTCCTATAGTAAACTAAACAGCTCCCATAGTAAACTAACCAGTTCCTATAGTAAACTAAACAGCTCCCATAGTAAACAAACCAGGTCCCATAGTAAACTAACCAGTTCCTATAGTAAACTACCCAGCTCCCATAGTAAACAAACCAGCTTCTATAATAAATAAACCAGCTCCCATAGTAAACAAACCAGCTCCCATAGTAAACAAACAAGCTCCCATAGTAAACAAACCAGCTTCAATGGTACACAAGCCTCTCCCCA